TAGGCGGTGGAACGGTATCATAACTGGTTTGCATCTGCAAACAAAACATTATTTTAAATGCATTTAATAATAACATGGTGTGAATAGCCTCTCTAATTCCTCAAGATCAAACAACACTGCTCAGTTGTGGGGGTGCTGTTGTAAAATCTTGCAGAGACTGTTCTCTGTAAAAGAACTTCACCAATAATGAAATGGATACATGTATATATATATAAGATGCTTGAAATATGGTGCTCTATTGTACAAGCTATAACAATGAAATTTTATTTCTTTCCAGTTGAATATCACACAAAGAATGACATCAACACTGCTAGCTGTCTCTTTACTGGCCACCTTCTCTTCACTATAAGATTGTCACTAAATCAAATAGGGTAATTTTCAGATTCAAAGGGTAGGCTGAGTTCTTTGACTTGTGTAACTCACCAAAGATTCCTGTTTTGTTCTCAGAACTGGAACCGAATCATATGTGCCAGATCTCCGAAGCAGGTCAGAGTCAAAAACTGTTAATGAAGAAATTAGCAAACGAATGAGAACTTTGAACTTTAATGGTCATTATGATGCAGCTTTAGAGTGACTAGACAGGGTGTAGTGACTTTTGTTGATTGTTGCTGGTTTCGAATTTCTACACAAATAACAGCTAATCTAGGATACAGCTAAAACCTTTGCGAGGAGAAATCTTCTTTCAATGATTGCCCTCTTTGTGATAAGTACTTTCCTCTGTATGTGTTTTTGACACTCACACCAACTAAAGTAGTTTAACTAAATTGATCAGGTTTAGGTTTTTTTGTCCCTTTGCGGTCATTTCGAGAAGACAAATTTCAAACCACCTTGCTAACATACAGTATTTATTCAAACAGATTTTTACCTGGTTACGTTGTGGGGTGTGCATGGTAAGGGCAAATAATTTTTAACCTTGTCTAGTTTAACCACTTTTAAACATGTTCTTCAAACAAAAGCCTCCCTTTCATTTTAGACATTTCAGTACTTATATCAAAAAGAAACATCAAAGCAGGGCTTTCATTAAGGGCCAGGCACCAGACAAATTGACTGGCCGTGAGGACAAGTTTGCCCAGCTGGTTTGACCATCGGGCGGAAAGTTTTTCTTACAACTTTAGAAGTTCAGTTCTAAAATAGTTTTGCCCTCGTGTGAAAACCACATGTCCTCCTGCTGAAAACGTTTTAATGAAACCCCCGATCAAAGTGCCCTCTCCCAGCTAATCACTAAAGGCAACGAAAGGATGGCAATTGGTCCTTCAAAAACCATATGGGTCTCACAAAAATTTCGGAGAATTTTGTAGGTCTCCCAGTCTTTTTTTAATGCTTATGTGCTTCTCACAATCTCAATTTTTTTAACAAAGCTGTCTCGGAGTCTCAGTTTGTTTGCAAGGCTAACGAAGCTTCAAAGTCCAATTTGTTTGTATGTTTTAATTTTACACATGACATCTGAATGTCTTGGGGTGTGAACATCTCAAGCTTGCATTTAAAACACTTTGAAGTCTCAGTCTTGCAATTTCAAAAGTCAAAATGTCTTGAGCTCACATAAAGAAACGCTAGTCTCATCATCTTGCCAAGTCTCACATTCACCATTCACCACCTCTAAATGACCACCCTCCCTCGTTAAAAGGGGGACAAACCTTGTCGATTTGGTACATTTTCATAACTCAGTGTCCTTGTGTACATTGCTGATTTAGGTCGATCTGAAAATCCCTAAAATGGAAAGATACAAGATGGCCAAGTTACGTTCAGGTTCTTTTGATTGTTAGTAGACATACATGGAATACAAAAAAATACACAATACAGTAAAACTAAATCGAGTTTGACTCACAGGGAAAGTGTTTGATGTCCTAGAAGTCCTTGTATTCGGTCTGAATTCTATTGAAAACAACAAGAAGTATTATTTATACATGTAAGCCAAAAGGGTTACCACGTTTTAAGTAATGTAACATACAACTTGCATCAAACACAAGAGACATGTTCTATTTAGATTTTCAAATTCCATGAAGAGAGCTGAAAATAAGTTATGTACATAGTAGGGTATTTTTTTTCAAGAAATTGATGGTGTTTGGTATTATTTTTATTAAACACTGTGTCAAGTATTTGATAGAGTTTGATACTATTTCCTCCAAAAAAAAAAAACAAATACGCTGCATCATTTATCAGTTTGAGAAACCTGTCACAAGATACAACAGGAGTTTAAAAACTGAGAGAAAACGATATGTTTTAATAATATCAAGTGGTCACAACCTCAGAACCAGAGTGTTTGGAGAGAAAAGATACTGTTTCAAACTTGATGGAGATGATGCTAACCAAATTGGCAGTGACGCAAGCTCCTCGGACAAATTACCGAGTTCTCTCACAAGACAAACCCATGAACTTACATCACTAGGACGCTTTAAAACAAAGCTATAGAAGATCTGGGTTACTAAGCCACATATAATTTGGTTCAAGTGTATAACAAACACAGTGTCACTTCAAAACTGAATGTAGCAGCTTTCAGTTGTGAGAATAGTTTCCTATGTTTCTTATGCATAAACATGTTTTGCTCATTGTCAACATCATCTTGAAGGTGACTCTTGCAAATAACAACAACATACTAAAAACTAAACGAGCTGAGTAGTTACAAGAATTATTACGCTTTAAATCAGTTGTAGGAAAAATAAAGAAAAGAAGAGGTAGAAAGAGAAAAAAAATATATAGATACAAATATAAAAAGAAATATAAGTAGTAACAGTACCAGCTCTAGACAGAGCATTGTTTAATAAAGAGCGATAGCAAATGACGTAATGATGCAAAAGGTGAATTACACTCACCAGTACATTGTCGTTTTAAGCTAGATACTGGTTCTTTGAGACTGCACGCTGGTTAGCAACAATTATAAGAAAATTAATGATTCAGTAATTATTATTCATTAGCCAAAGTAATCATCACAAAGTTCAGAATGCGATTAACTATTAACAAATAAATTAAAACAACAGGGTGTTAGTCACAGTACATAGACAAATGTTAATGGAACATAATTAACTCCCGTTACAAATTAATTACTTACAATTAATTTATTTATTTCACAAGTTAGATTCACAATTATAGAAATGTTAAGCTTCCAGCTATGTTTATTCATGATCATGCATCGTTCATCGCTGTCTAGTGTATGTTTCTTGTTACAAAAGAAAATATTGGTCAAGAAGAATTCTTTATGCTTCGGGGGTTTTAATCCTTATATAATATCAAATAAGGAAGCACATATGAAACTTCAATATGCAAAGCAAGATAGCATTTCGTCTCATTGACACTTGCCAGAAGGTATAACTAGTTAATTAATTTATTTATTTAACACAAGTTAAATCTAGTGCTAATAGGGTAGCATATTTTTTACAGTACTGCTGCAAAAGGCAAGGTCCAGCTGTGATTCAGCCTGTAAAGCTAGTGTCCCATCAAACTGGCACTTACCTCCAGTTTCTACAACAGAAAGTAACAGAGAGTGTTCTCCCTCCCCCCAGCATCAAATTTGCTATTACCCATTTATACATCCAGGTGTGAGAGAGACACTGCGAGAGGAAAGTGCATTGCACTAAGACATAACACAATGATCTCAGCAGCAAGGACTGAAGCATGGACCAGTTGAAACAGAATACAGTGCACTAACCATTATGTCACTGCACCTTCCTACAGTACAACAAAACTCACCATAAATAAGACTTTCTATCTCTCTTGTCTTTGCTGAGGGGTGAGCAGCCAACAGATCTGTAACTGTCTTGTTGTTGCTGTCCACCACTGTGATGTCAGCCCCTAGAATTTGAAACACAAAAGCCCAGTGATCAAGCCATAACAAATTAACAAACGAAGTTAATATGTAAACAAAGTTCAATATGTAAACAATATGCAAACAAAGTCAAATTTTCAGCCTACATGTAAATGGACTTCCATGTGACTTAACTATATAAACATAACTGTATTGTCTAATAGAAACTAACACTACAACAGTACATTATAAGAGTACATTCACTGAAACTGGGACCACCCAGACCATGAAAACCAAATTATGACAGAACTGAAACAATAGAATACAACATTTTCAAATCCAGTGCATAAACTGTTTGGTACATTTGATTCACTGAATTTGAAAATGTTGGAATTTATTGTTTCAGTTCTGCCATCTGATTGGTTGTCATTGTCTGGGTGGCCCCAGTTTCAGTAAACACACTGTAAGTTTTGTCACCTGTTTGTGTTTTTTTTTTTTTTTTACTTTCCAGAAATTTACATTTGCAGTCAGATAATGAAATTAAATACATTCAAGTTCAGTAGCCCATCAGGCTGACACTTATCTATAGTTTCCATGACATAAAAAGACTATGAGTAAACACTCACCACACTGTAAGAGAAGATTGACGACATCCACTTTACCAAACAAGGCTGCTTCATGAAGAGCTGTTCCAGAGGTACACTGTAGATCATGATAATTTTAAATACAAGTTAATAATCAGCTTTGATTTTATCAGCTGCATTCACCATTTGTTCAATGTTTTAACCAAATGGTTAAAAAAAAAATAACTTGGTTGCACCTTTTGCAGAACCTGTTGTAACCAAAATACCAAATGTTTCCAAGTCAAATCACTGACAGAACCTCTTCTAAGCGACTGTGACTACTTTTAGAGCTAATGAATGACACTTGTCTTATTGTTTTTACACTCCCATAAGCGACACCTTCAAGACTATCCTATGACTTCCCAAGCAGAAATTGGAAAACCCAGCTGTCAGATTATCACAATGTCAATGTTGTCAGATTGGCACTACAACAGATCTATGAAATTTCACAGTAAGAGCTACCAGATGTCTTGCAACATGAATACAATACAGTACTGTTCTTTTTTTTTAACAAAATTCCCCATATACGTGGTGACTGGAAGTTTCTTAGATGGCTTTAGACAAACTTGTCTAGTGCATTGACAAGTCTCTATACTTATAGGCTTTTCTGTTCTATAATATAGAAGCTTAAAATTTCCACCCGCTGTGGCATAAACCCTCATGAGCCACCACCTCCCATAAGCAGCCATCTTAGTCTGACATTTTGGGTGGTTGCGTACAGGAGGTTCAACTATACTCAGCTACATACAGATTGCTGTCTCTAGCAAACATACTTACTGTTAAGTTAACACCCATTCCACAACTAAGGAAGTAAGATACCACATTCATGTGACCATTTCTGGCGGCAAGATGAAGAGGGGTGTGCGTCCTGACTACATTCACATCCTCAAGCAGATTGGGATGGTAGTTTAGCAGTTGCTTAACCTAAACAGAAAAAAAAACTCTTACCTTTCATATTCACCTTACCTCATGTATTTATCCCTGATTAATACCATTGTTGCAGTTTAAAATGTACTTTAGGCCAGAATGATTTCAAAATACTTCAATTTTTTGTCACAGGGGATCAGGGAATCTGGGGCTAACAACTTATAAATATTTTCAGACCAACAACATTAGAAAATTTGCAATGATTGTTTGCATGGCCTGGTGGAGATGAAGGCGGACTACTGTACAAAGTCAGGGATCAGATGTTCAAATTTGGTTGAGTGCAAAATATCAAAAGGGGAGGGGTTGATACGGGAACCTAGCAACGTAGGGTAGCGTTACAGACTGAGGGGGATGGGTAGTGCACTTGTTATTATTTTTAAGAACCCCAAAAGAGTGAAAAATAAAGACTGGTTGGAACCATTTAACGTAGATTGAAAGCATTCTGAAACACTAACACAATCCTCAAATCACAAGTACAGAAGCAAGAAGTGGTGCGGAGAAAAAAGTAACCTTCCAAATCAAACAAGGCCTAATGTATTTGATTCATTCTGTGATTGTTCAAGTAAAATTAACAAAGCTTTTTATTTACTAGTAGTAAAGATAATTCACTCACAGTTTCCATTCTGCCATACTGAGCTGCTAAGTCAAGAGGTGATTCTTGGCGACCATTACGAATGTAAGGGTCAGCATGATTCTACACAATGAACACATCAAAACAATACTGTTAAAGTGCTTATCACCAGCATCATCGCCATCATCATTATAGAATTCTTAGTTCAATTGATTTCTTGAAAAATATCTTTTTGACAAAGGAGGTAAAATTACCTGAGAACTTCCTTAAAGAATGCACAGAGAAATCAACGTAATTTCAATAAAAAGTTACTAAGTCAGAATAATAACACAAGCTAGTGATTAGGCCTTGTTTTGAAGCTATGATTATTTGGACCCGCTGAATTCCTTTGCACAAACAGAAAAGGTTCCTTCTCTGGACATACATGAACATGTATACTGATGAGAAGAACAACTCAGGACTTTGATTCTAAAATTAATCATTTTCACCCTTCTGGCTTACAGTGCATACCTCAAGCAATACAGCCACAACAAGGCTCTGGCCAAACTGGGAAGCTGAATGCAATGCTGTGTCTTCAGTGCCATTCTGTTACAAGGAGAGAAGCAAAGTTAACATGACAATAGGTAATGTCCAAAGCTAGAACAATTCAGCTGGACACTTGTAGCTCCCAGTCAATCTCTCTTTTCATAGGCAAAAGCAGAGGATGATGTTTCTCCCTTCAATTCAGTTCATGTTGATCAGCTTCAGCCAATAAATTTATTATACCAACTCTATAGCAACAATATCCCATGCAAGCTAAGAGCCTGGTACTGACTAATTTCACTGGCTGAGAAGAGCTTATCACTGGCTAAAATTTCATTACAAAACAAAAACTGAAATGACACACTCGTCAGGTAAGACTACCCTGCTGAGCTTGTTAATGAGCCTTCCACATCCCTGTTACAGCATGCACTAATGTTGTCCATCATATATAACTTGCCTGTTCATTAACATTTGCTCTAGATGGTCCTGTGTTTATCAGCACTCTAGCCACATCAGCATGACCATTCCACGCAGCCAAGTGAAGGGGATAGTTCCCTATAGTACATAAAATATCGCAACAAAAGTATGATGCCTGCAGCATGTTAAATTCTGCTATGTGCAATAACATTAAGTCGAGCTTAAGTTTAGTTCAGCATCACTCAAACAAAGCTGTTATTACAGTTATCAGCAGTCTGGCAAACAAAAAAGGCCAAAGGGTCAGTTCTGCTTTGTACTGACCCACTCTCCTTGTTTGTATGCCTTTTTAAACAAAAGAATATTTGACCACAGGTTCAACTGTAATAGCACCTAATATAATGTTGAATCGAGAGATTACCACCTTAACCATTACACCACCCCACCTTCAGTTGAACCTTGATATCTTGTACTTGGATTCCTGACTATATTATAAAGCTATCTAAAGCTGCTATCTCAAACTCAAATCATTTTTCTTAGACATATTCTTAGATTCTGTCATTTATGATTGACTATCTCAAGCCACTGCTTTCTCAAATTTTTTTTCATTTCTTGTGAGAGTTTGAGATAATGGGGTTCAAATGTAACCAAAATGAAAATCTATGCTTACCAGAATTATCTGGAATGTTTGTAGAGGCATCATATTTCAGAAGAAGCTCTGCTGATGACCTGGAAATGAATGTGCAATAAGAGTGGACATTACATGAGACCATACCATAAAAGCACTCCTGAAGCTGAGAGACAAAGTAGCATTACCATAATCATAGTGACTGTAGGTACACGTCAGTGCAGTACAAGGTAACTAAGTAAAGGTATAGCCTGCATTTGAGCCTACTTGGTCAATCAGACCACTGGTCATCTCTGGTTTCGAGGGCATGAACTGATACCAGAGGAATAATTCTGCTCACTCCTGGATGGGAAGCTACTTATAGCCCAGGGAAGGGGGTTACCCAGATTATTTCACTGATATCCATTTTTATTTAAAACTGGATCGTTGGATAATGCAATTCAAGAGTTTTCAAAGGCTCAGCCACCATGGGTTATGAGCCATTATATCGTGCTCTACAAATATGGTAAGCATATGCCTGATTTTTGGGGCATTTTTATTTTTATTTTAGTCTATTTTTCTATATTTGGGGGCGTTTTTAATAAAACAGTTATTTCACTCGCGCTTGTTGGTTATGAGATGACTAAAGTCAACTTGGCGCTACAAGCCTCATTGACTATCTACCATCTCATATCCAATGCACGCTCGTGGAGTAATTGTTAAATATACCTGGGTGAAGAGCTAGAGGCAGTGTAAGAATAAAGTGACTTGCCTCAGACACTTTACTTTATAAGGTCAACAGTACTAGGTCAACATCCCAAACCCATTTTATAAAGGTTTTTATACAAGTCGAACCTAACTGCTAAAGGCTACCTCGACCCACAACGGCCACCTCTACTGCAGCAGGACATTTTTGTCCCAGTTGAGAAATTAACTCTTATTTTAACCTCCTAACAATGGCTACCTCTCCACTATTTCCCCAAGGTGGCCACTGTCAAGAGGTTTGCCCATGCTGGTGAAGATAAAGAGGACTAATGCCCTAGTGTATGACAAAGAGGCGCCTACATGGATAATTTTGATAATTCACAAATAATATTAAGGCACACAGACCCATATCACATAGCATACAGTAGTTAATTGAAACTGAAAACACTGTTTTGAGGAATCAATTCAATCAAACATAATTCTACAGTACTTCCACAAAGTAACTAAATAAATAAATCTGCTTAAATAAACACTGGTTGAAAAACAACAATAATTTCAAGCTTGTACCCCAATGATTTTGAATCTAAAACTTGTATGGAATAACCTCGTTCGATTTGGGTCGATCATTTAGTGAGTGACAGTAAAGCTTATAAGCTTGCATGCTGCAACAACTTCAGCGATTAAATTCCTTCATAATTTATGTACCTGTGGCCATTTAACGCTGCATAATGAAGCGGAGTGTAACCAAGCTCGTCTTGATGATTTGGATTTACAGTCTTGCTCATTAAACTGCAAAAACGTGAATGCGATCAGTGAATTGTGAATGAGCTTTCATTTCCTGTCAAACTGTTTCAGGCAGCACCCAAATACCTTTGGATCCCTGACTTCCTCGCCTTGTGCCCGAGAATCTTCTCGATGTGTGCAACATTTCCAGTCTTTGCTGCTTGTAGAAGGTCCTGCTCTTTCCCCATGGTACCTGTGTAGGTGAGAGAATGGCTGCCTTCGTGCAAAACACAATCACCATTTGTATGCGATAAGTTACCAGATCAAATCCGCCATGTTGTTTTGCGTTGGCCCTTTTCGTTGACTCCCGAGGTTGGTCTCGCTCCAGTCCTTATCCAATGATTGCGTTATTTTCGAGTGACCAAGAAAAAGTGAACAAACAAACTAAAAACACAAGAAATGTACTCCTTCACTCAGTCCAGTGATATTTGGTTTTAATTTCATCATCCAGATTTCTGAAATAATTTTAAAACATGGATGTAGTTGTGCAGCGATGGCAAAAACCAGAAAACTAAAGATAGACTTCCGGGTTTGACTTTATAATTAAGTGGCAATCAAGCATAACAAATTAAATACTTCTCCTAGACATTTGGCTGTTCTCAGTTCTTAAATTACTTACTACCTGCTCATCTGATTGTAAGGGAAACGTTATACGTAGTGTGTTTTTTTTTGTTGTTGTTTGCTTGTTTTGTTCAAGCGCGGCAGCGCCTTGCAACATCTCAATCCGCGCGCGCGGTTCTACCGGACACATAAGTTAACGAACAGGCAATGGTCTGAAAAGAAGGAGTTGGGCCAATAAACTGATCATGACTACACTGAAAATGGTTGCGAAAGGATTATTTCATGACACCATTGTTATTATTATTTATTTTATTTCTTTATTTTATTTTTGTCAATTGAGTTAGTTGGAAGTGACTTGGCCGGCAAAAAAGGGATATAGCCAATTGAAAATACTCTCTCTAGCCCGTGCGCTAATGGACAAGCCCTAGCACTTGCCAGTATCAACGATTGGCTTTGCACCACTCGCTCTCCTTCCCGCAACTGATGTCCAATTTTGAAAATGAAGTAGTATCCACCAGTTCTTTTTTATCTGTTTCAGGTGCTGGCGGTCTTGTTACTGTAACCCTACTGTCCTGTAGATACACCATCATTCTGTCTCCAGTCGTCTAGATAAAGTGTATACCGTTAAAAATCGTTGAATGGGTCTTGAATACGAACAATTGTCAGATTGGGAGAAAAAGTGCCCATTATATCGGTGTTATAAATTACGGGCTGGCCAGTTCGATCTGTCAAAGTATGGCGGTTTTGGAATTCTAAAATCGGCTCGAGGCCAACCCCATTGTCTGCGTGGGTCCTTAGGCGACCTGTAGGAATGCG